CTGTATGTCTTCTGCTGCTCAGACAGTCTCACAATGGTAACCCTCACCATGGTTTGTTTCTCTCTGCTTTTATCCTTACCCAAATTCTTTCAGCAGGATTTCTATGTTCCATTCCTGAATTTCTGTGCAAGTATATATTTTTCTTTACAGTACAACAGCCCTATCCTTTCTACTTGGCCTGCATTTTTTTTTTAAAAAAAGTAGGCTTCCTGTGCTGTGTCCCAATCTTATGCATCATCCCACCAACTTCCCTGTCACATCCTCTTTGTCTTCCTGAGTAAGGATCTCTATAATTTCCTCTTTTTCTTTCCTGTATTCTATGCATGTGTGTAAAAACATTTGAAGTTTTTGGACTATGATCTTTGTCTTTCATTTTATTGGAACAGTCTTTGGCCACATATTTGGTTCTGGGCTTCTGCTAACCTTTTTTTTTTTTCCTAGTCAGCATCACATAGCAAATTGTTGAGTTCTGTTTTCTCTTCCTATGCCTTCAACAGGAAGAATTGATGAAAAAAACCTACCTGTTTTCTCTACTCTCCTCCTTCAGGCCTTATCATTTTCAGAGATTCTTTCAAGGTTCTTCTGGCCAAATCCTTTGTCTCCACATGAATCAAGAGAAAATGATAGATCTTGGTAGGTTTCAATAGTCCTAATAACTTTTCTATCACATCCTACATGCAGGCATCTGATATGTATTCACAACACACCTCTTGCAACATCATGCTAAGTCTGCACATGCTGTGTTGGGTCCCCTTAAGTGGGACTCACCCATCACCTTTACACAGGTCTTCTTTCTTAGATTGGCTCTTGGATTTCTTTGATCTATGAGAGCCTAAGCGATGTTCTATAGCACTGTTTGCTCAGGTGGCTGTCAATCATCCCCTAGAAGGAAAGCCTGCACTGATGTGCGAGTTCCATTTGCATCAAAGGCCTCCTGATCTTGCTTCTTCAGGTCACATGCTTCTACATATTTGTTTCTGCCAAAATGTTTTCCTCCACTTTCTCCCCAGTTCTCTCCATTTCTCTGCTCTTCCTAGAGGGTCCAAAACCATTTTTTCCTGATGCATTTCAGTGTAGCATCTCTCTTCTCAAGTTCTTCCAAATTTTCTTCCAATAAGGGAACAAGCTTGCACCTGCAAGGGGAGAGGTTTGGGTCCCCTTAGGGCAGGAAGACAAATAGTGCACACATCTTGCAGGTCACAATAATGCTTCCCTTGCTGTCCCAATGGTTTGGAGTCTTTCCTGCCAACTTTCCTAGCCAGTCCATCCTTGTCTGCTTGCTTTGTGAGTGCCTAGAAACTGCTTCTCTGGGTGATGGCTCCTCCTCTGGATTGGAAGAAGATTGTGGGGGGGGGGAGATAAAATGCAGAAAAAGCAGGGTAAAATCCTTCTCCCTTTGCTTCCCCTGCTGAACTCCTATCTGCTCCTCCATTATTTAAAAATAAGTTGCCAACAAGCCCCTCAGGGTCATATTAGTCAGATTTTTTTTAAAGATAAAGGGATTAAATTAGAGGAGCCAGTTTGGTAGAGTGGTTAAGGCATCATCAGTTCTAAATCTAATCCCACTTTAAGCACCTAGCCAGCTGGGTGACCTTGGGCCAGTCTCACCCTCTCAGCCCTAGGAAGAAGAAGGCAATGGCAAGCCACTTCTGCAAATGAGTCTCCAGAGAAGGGCGGCATATAAATCAAATTTAAAAAAAAAATCTTGCCAAGACAACTGGAGAGACTAGGTCAGGCAGTTGCCAGGAATCAAAATTGATTTGAAGGCACAACTGCAACAACAATGGGATTAGGTTGCAGAATCTTGGAAATTGGGCATGTGTATTTTAGCAACCCATTTATCAGTAAGCTCATTGAGGTGAAGGCCCTAATTCTGTTAACCCTCTTTCTAACTTCCTCTGGGTAAAAAGGGAAATGTTGCTCCCTGTCTGCCTGATGATAATGAAGGAATGCAGAGAAATTCCTAACCTCCAGTACTTTGCAAACCGTTGTTCCTGTTCCAGGCTCCAAAAGTCATATTCGATACAAAAAGACATTACTGAGCCCAGGGTGGCATCTCACTTGACTCTTCCTTCTAGTTTGACTCACAGCCATTGATGCCCACTTACTGATTTAATCAGCTCTGTAACCCTATAATGGTAACATTGCCCAGGCTATATTTTGCCATCTTCCCTTTATAGAATTGCATTAGGTTCCATTTCTTTTCCAAGGAATAAACATCTAACTATCTTTTTGTGCAGAATGGGATACAGAAACTGCATCCCAATTATTTAAAAAGTAGTTAATTGCTTCTTTTTAAAAAATAAATAAATATGAATGGTTGTGTCTGGGTAGGTACCATTTATTTGAATGTTGCTGCAGGTAAAATATTCACTGGTTGGAATAAACTGCACAATAAGGAAATTCTCTAATACAATAGTTTTTTTGTTCAACATAGGACATGTCAAAGTATAAAATAATGACCTCTCATAGTAACTGAAATGATTGGAATCTGGCTACTTCATTCTTTCGGTAAGTAGATCAGCTTCCAGGCTAGTCTCGGTGTTTGGAATTATGCATCCCAACGCATTTAACAGTACAAATGATGTCCCTCTTTCTATCCCATCCATCATAATAAAATAGCACTTTTTGTCCAGAGACAGCAGGAAAAAAAAACCCTCACATATGGACAATCCAGATGATTTCTGCAAGGCATTAACAGTGGATGAATCTATGGCACAAATGGACAATGGGCACCCCCTGAAATAACATTAAACTTCAGATGCAGTTGGCCCATCTCTCTCCTTAATCAGCAACATCAGAAGTGAAGCTGGCTCTAAACTGCATTTAAGGAATATACAGAGCACACATTTCCCACCCCTGATTAGCAGCAGCAGATTTGAATAAGGGCTCTCTAGTCTAGGGCAGTAATCAAATAAATCCTGAAGAGTGATCTGGCAACTGGGTTGGAACACTGTGATCACTTGACTGATTAACACACAATATTAGGAACAGTCAGATGATTGCTCACAGGATCTCTGGCTGAAGCATTAAGTTCTGCAGTTCTTCTCTTTAATTTGTACGAAACTGGGAACTCTAGATAGTTCAGTTTATGAGTCCTAGGGTCATCCATCTGAGTTGTGAAAAAAGACAATCTGCTTGAGATGTCATCATTGCTATTAACTCAGAAGCATCCTGGGGTAAACCACACTCTCTTACAGGAGTCACACAATTTATTTGGCAGCACACAAAGCCAAACCCAAACAAGCCACATTCTGTCTTAACATGCTCCATGAATCCACCCTCTGTCTCACCCTGTTTCCATCGGCAGTAAAATACTGATCCACCTTGCATGGCTGTTTCTAAGGAATAATTAGACACGTGAGGTGTTATAAAAATGATAAATATTTCTAGCCATAATGATGTGTTGCTGCAAAAAACAAGAAATATTTCCAACACCTTAAATATGAATGAATTAAATATAAGCTTTTCTGGAGAGAAATCAAGTTCATCGGATACCTCAGGATGTTAGCCTAAGTTAGCAGGTATGTGTCTGTACACACACATACAAAGAAAAGATAGTGAAGGGGAGTTTGTAAAAAAAAAATTCAGGGACCGCTCAGAAAGCAATTTTGAAGATATTGTAAACATCCTGGCATTGGTAAGCTAATTAACACCTTTAGCTGGATACCAGACCACACTGAACCACTTGGTGTATTGAAATTCAGCAGTTTCATGTTGATGTTTCCTTTTGATGTCCCCTTTCCAGCAATGGCCACTTTTAAGGTCAATTACAGTTTGAAAGGTTATAATGATTTCCTGTTGGTGTCTGTATATGTTTTTTTGCTCTTCCTTAAGTCAGGTTTGTGTCTTTTTAAAAACTTATTTATCATTTGTTATGTAAGTCAATCAGGTCTGTGTAAGGGCATTTTACAAAATAAAATTAAAAGCATTTTTGACAAGAAAGTTCCCACATTAAATAAAGCAATCACAAAGTATTTCCTTTTTAAAAAATCTAATTTTCAAAAGCTTGGCAGGTGACCTAGAAGTTTGAGTCCACATGGAGTCTAGCAGTTCATAAATAAAGGAAATTAATGAATCTATAAATACAGTAATGCTTGTGGAATTATGATTGATATTGCTCAACTGCGGAGGTTTGATTTATTTTTTCAAGGACACATTCTGCGTTTCTTATTTCAATGTGTAGATTATTGCAGAAAAGGCTTTATGACTAATGCCAGATTCCCCTTTTGATATTGTAACCCAGCCTATTCATCTGGCGTATTAGAATCAAAGGGATATTTGAACAAGCATATTTATTGGATTGGGCTGAGAAGGGATAGCAATGCTTCACTGAGCATGCAGACAGGAGGCCAACTCAGTGTATTCTACACAAACTTTGTTCAGAGGATTACTACCTTAAGAGGAGTTTGCTTCTGAGGAACGCACACATTTCTACTGAGCTTTTAAATTTTCTCGGTATCAGGCTGTCAGCATAATTTCACTCTCTGTAACAAGTCAATTGGCAAGTTTTTGTTTTCTTACATTCAGTATAAGTCTTTATTTTGTTTTTCACCGAAAAATATTTAAATACAATAACCACATCAACTCAGGCCCACCCCCTCGTTTTCTAGGTTCCGATGAAAAAGACCGAAGAGGGTCCGGCAAAGATGAACCCGGGGAAGTGACGGGCGGGGTATAGAGACAGCCTGAGCCGGAATTCGGCTCAACCCCCAGCTCGTTACATTGTTGCCATTCCCAGCCGGCATCAGAATGTTGTGAATGGAAGGATCGCGGCGTAGGCCACGCCCACATAGAACCCTATCTTAAGGGCCTTGGTCTCCTGTCTTGCCTGATTGGCTGGGGGGCTTCCCGACCTTTGATTGACATCCTTTTTTCCAGACTGCTCCTATTCTCTCTTTTTTTAAAGCCCCACAACATGGGGGCGTGCATTGTTCCTCCTTGATTGGCAACCGAGCTCGGCCAATCTGTACAAGCCTCTCTCTCGCACACTGCCCAATAGAAAGCGGGTGAAGAGAAAAGGGAGGTCCAGGGAACCAGCAGCCGTCGAGCTCATTGTTGTGGGAGCTCCTTAAAGGGGCCGTATCCGCCGCCCACAGAAAGAGAAACGACCAACTGACCGGGCTGGGCCCGGGCCGCCACTGGTGGGTTTTCGGGAAGGTGCTCAGGAGAGGCCGGGGATCGGCCGGGCCTATGGAGCTTCCGCCCGCTAAGCGCAGGTGCGGCGCCCCTGGGGAGCAGCCCGACCCGGGACCGGGACCAGGCGCCGCCACCTCCTCCTCCTCCCCCCCTTCCGCTTCCACCTCTTCTGCCGTCGAGACGCTTCTGGACCTGAGCGCCCGGCGGGTGGCCGAAACTTGGGCCTTCGAGCAGGTGAGAGGAAGGACAGATCCCCCCCACGGGGCAGCGCCACGCTCTTGGCTTCCCCTCCCGGCCGCCTCTGACGTTCCGCGGCTGGGATGCCGGCTGGACCTCGCGAAGGAGCCGCAGCCCCGGAGGGTCTCTTTAAACCGCCTGCGCCGCCGCCTCCTCCTCCTCCTCCTCCTCCTCCTCCTCCTCCTTCGGAGGGAGCCGCTGGGGCGCAAAGCTGCCTGCAAGTCTCCCCCGCAGCCTCCCACCCCCGAAGTGCAAAGGGGGCTGCGGGAGGCAGAGGGGCCACTCGGCGCAGAAGAGGGTTCTCGACCCGCGTTTGAGCTCCTTTCGAAAGGCTTCTCTCTTCTTCTTTCCCCCCCACCCCCTCACCCCACCCGCCGGTGGGGAGGAGGGGTTGGGAGATGGCTTCCTTCAGGGCTTAAGCCAGAAATGCCAGCTTCCAAAATCTCTGTCGGGGCAGCCCCTCTGACAATAGGGCGACGTGCAAAACGTTAATAGGTGGCGAGAGTGGTCGCGCACAATGTGGAAAAAGCGCTTCACCTGCTGACTTGGGCACCTTTAAGATGCTGTTAGCAGCACAGGAGCAGGAAAAGCCCGCTTTCTTTCTTTCTTTCCCTGGAACAAAGCCTAGCTGAACCTGCCACTTTTTCACTAGTTTTCCTTCCATTTGTCCTCCCCCCCCCACCCAAAATTTCCTTCAGGGACTGTCCTTTTTCTTCTTTAGCTGCAAGGCAAAACCACATTCTCTCCTTTTTGTCCTTCCTCTTGCCCCTTTTCTTTCCTGTTGCTGGAATCTATCTGCTGGCTGTTCATAGTTCATTTTACATTCTCTGTAAATTTGTAGCATCCTCTCCTTGGGGTCAAGTTTTAATTGTGTTTGGGATCATTGTGTGTGTGTGTGTGTGGAGACTTCCATATAAAACAGCTTTTGCAAGGGAAGGGAAGAGAGCAGGTGGTTTATCCAGACTATGGTGGGTCTTGTATTTGTCAGATGACAAATGCTTGAATTCTCCATAACTTTTTCATTGGAACCCCTCTTTATTAGTTTGCTTGCTGTTTGACGACATGAAGAGCCACTCCTGTTCTGCCACAATTTTTGGTCTGATTCTTACTAAATGTGAGTTCTGACAATCTCTTGATGGACTGGACTACAGTAGGAGAAAATGCTTTAAATGAATATCTTTTGGTTTTGGTAACTTGCCTATGTGTTCAGTTCAACTTTTATTTGTGGTTTTTCCCTCTGTGCTCTTCCACGAGTTTTCTTATTTTTTCTTTTCCTGTACCAGGCTTTCTCTTCACAAGCTGATGCCCTTATGCTGTTCAGTCTGTAGGAAGTGGTTATGGTAACTAGTTTTTTTTTCCCAAGGCCTTTTCTGGAACAAAGCATGAGAAATAGGAGATAGCTGAAACTAAGCAGACATGATGTAGCTGGGAGATCTGGGGCTAGTCTGGGCAAAACCCAAGTGAAAGTAAAATCTCGATACTCTTACAGGTGGGTGGGGAGAGGCTTGGCTTGCTCTGTGGGCATTTGTCTCTTCATCCCTCTCTGCCCCCTTCTTGAAATTGAATAGAATCGTGCTTACCCATTATTCTTGGACATCAGAATTTAGTTATTTCTTTCCATCAAGCAGAACATTCCTTGTAAGCAGCTACAGTTCATACAAGGAGACACCAGAACATAATTTCCGTGTTGGGCTGAGAAACTAGTCCAACAAGAGTCGCTTGTCACTGACATCAGCAGGTGAAACTTCCCAAGTCAAAGCATGTGCACACCTGAAATGGGAGAGAATGCAGATGATATCTGGTTTGGAAAGTGTTGTTGTTACTATTATTTAGCCTGGGAAAGATTCCATCACAGCAATTTTAAAAAAAAGTTTCACCGGGGCAAAGTTTCACACTTCGTTTTAAAAGGCCCTTGATACTTCTGATAGAGCAAGGTAGAGAGTTCCAAGGGATCCAAATTGCATGATGGTTTTTAAGCGGGTTGGCATAACTTTACATCTCCAGCAGTGTGTGCGTTTATATAAGAATAGAAACATGACTGCTTTTCTTTTTGCCCCACATTGCACCCTCGGTTTTTCCACCAGACAAAACAACTTTATGACACAGAATAAATTGGGTTGGGGAAGAGAATTAGGAAGATGATGAAACCCATGACTGCTGTATAATTTTTTCAATTTGGAAATGCAATTTTTATTTTGAGAGGAGTGGTTGAATATATTATTGAATCAGAAGCTCTTTCAAGAAGAAATCACCTTTTTAACCTGAGGCTTCATCCTAAGTTAGGAGAATTGTCATTATAATTGCAACAACTTTGACTTGAATTTAGCAAAGTAATAGCCATTACTTTTGTCTGGATTCTCATTCAAGTGGTATGCCTGTGTCTGGCTTTTTCTGCTGCAGATATGCAGCTTATATGATGGAAGGCTCTTCAATTGAAGAGGATTCCTCATTTAAAGAGCATTATACATTTTAGAAGCAAGCTTCTTGTAAATACCCTCTCCTGACATTTCTAGCAATATATGTATGTATGTATGTATAATGAAATGATGTTTTTGTCCTAAGAGGACCTACTTGCCATCTAAAGAGCTAGGTGAACTCATTTGCACTCTGGTTCAGTGAGGAGTCAGCCTTGGTATATGCTTATTTGCGTCCATCTCTATGAAACCACAAAATCTCTGCAATGTTTCTTTTATTATATTCTTTCTTTGAACCTATTCCTGTGCTAGCAAAAGGGAAGTAATCTGACTGTAATAAGGGGTGAAGTGATATTGGCTGAGATGCAGTTTAGAATACAGATTGTGCCCTTGATAAATCATGAGTTGAAATCAATGGGGATGTTCTCTTGTTCGGACCCAATGAAAGATATGGCTGCAGCTTTCATGACATGTTTATTTCATTGAGGTTTGTGCAGAAGGTCTCCTAATTTGGTAGTAATGATTGTACCTTCAGATTAGTCAGATTTGATTCCATGTTCCTTTTCCAAATGGGAGAATAGTAAAAATTTAGATTTCCTACTCTGTGTCCTTCTTGCCATTAATATTAAATATGTGACACTATTAGTTCAATCTGGCAGTGTTCTTCGTAGAAAGAATCTGCTCCCTTTTCTTCTTAGAAAACACAGAACCTGGGCCTTGTATAAGAGCAGAATGTAATTAAAGGATGATAGTATTGATCAAATATTGGGAAATCTAAAGCTAGTTTAACTTGTACATTATTTTTAGAGAAATATGTAAAATATAATTCTGCAGAAGCATGGAAGAAAATGATTTTTTCTTAACTCTAGTGGGCAGGTTGTTTCTGGTATTAGTACAGATGATGAGGATAGCACCAGGAGAATAGAGGAAGTTACATGTAGAAGAATGAAAGAAGGCTGCTGGCAAAGCCTGATTTTAGAAGGACAGTCATAGCAGAATATTTCAGCACAGGGATAAGATGTGAGAGTTCAGTTAAGATATCTGAGCTGATTGAAGAGGAAGGAACTTCACCAAGTCAAGGTGATTGCATGGAGAAGATTGCTGAAAGGCAGTGTCATATTGAGGCTGGATGTGTGCCTTATTGGTGACGCGATATTCCAGAGAATCCAGTTTTACACAGATTGAATTTGTCAAGTACAGCCTAAGAGGCTTGACAAAGTTTTGGCTTCTAGGGGCATTTCTCTGTATCAAAGATTCAGTTTATAGGAATGTGACAGAAACCTGTAGAAAACTCTGTTTTGAAATTAGTTGGAGATATTTTTTTTGCTGGTAGACATATGCCCACTTTTCCTCTGTTAAGGGTGACAAGAACAGTGACACTCATCCATAATCCCTTCCTCTTGTGTTGAAACTGCAAGCCTGTCAGAGCTATCAAACCCCTGAATTGGATTGAGTGATAAAATAAGCAACCAAACTAGCATCTTTGCATACAGAATGTGCTTTTTCAACGTTATAAGCATTAATGTGGGTTTGAGCCCTATATCGTTAGGTATGCCAGACCAAGACATTTTCTCAAATAAGTATTGGAATGGACTCAAATCCACTTATCTGATCATTGCCTTAGTAGCAATTCTTCCTGCTTGCTTCAAGGCCATTTCCTTCACCTCTTCATTGTTTTGGTGTTTGTGTTGTATAAATCCCGCCATTGCAGTTTGTAAACTGGGAGCTATGGCCTATTGCTATGCGAGTGAATCTAGCCAATTTGGTTTATTCAGCAAACAGTGCTTAACCAGTTCATGATTTAGCAGAACTTATGGACTGAATAAGTCTGTGATTATTCAAATCATCCTTCTCCAGCCTGGTCTGCAACTCACATAATATCTTCCAGCCAGCACACTATATAGGAACTACGATGTCCTGGGTAAGTGTCTCTCCTTGTTGCTATCACCCCCTTGTAGTCCTGTGTGCATGGCTGTCCTTGAAACAAAGCAAATAAAAGCTGCAAATTCTTTTGTTTTCCAACTTGCTTCAGATTCTTATAAGAAGCAATGCCAAAAGCCTCCAGAATCTGATGGTTATCTGTTGGATATGAGCCTTTCAGATATGAGCTTGTTGGATATGAATGAGGCTGAATGAGAAATGAAAGCCTGAAGAAATGAGACGAGAATTGAGAAAAGTGTGCTGGAGAGACAATGGCCAAAGACTCTCACAGGCCCAAAGTGCAACAAGGAGTGATATATAATAATGTAGTAACTTGAAACCAACATGGCAGAATGAAATTATATGTGGAAGGAAGTTGTAGGGAATAATGGAAAATGGGATAAAGCTGAGTAAATATTCAAATGTTCTGGATCTGCCTTCAAATAAAATACCTTTTCCCTATCCTTGGCTTCTTAATCCTTTGCACTTTTCTCAGTGTATGCTGTTTCTCCCTCTGCCCCCCCTTTTTTGCCCTTTTTGTAAATATCCTTGCAACACCAATAACCCCTGTTAAATTTAAGGATTGCATTCCTCCAGCAATTGATATCCTGGTTAGGTTATGTAGCATCCTTGCTGCATAAAAGATGTCAAATCTACCTCAAATTGTAAATTGGGGAAATGGAAGAGCAGTATAGGAACCATGTGGGCATTCTTCTACCCCCAGGATGGTATCACTTTCCAAAGAGTGGTGGCTGCACCTAATGCAGGAAACAGTTCAAGGGCCAAGGAGTGGGAGATCAATTTCCTATAATATTTAAGCTACTTTAAAATCAAAATGTCTAAACCAACCAGAGCTATCACCACAAGGAGAAGCTGAACCTAACAGGGGGCTTGACTAGCATGGACAGGGAAATTCCCAGGCTTAATTCTTCAGTCCTCTCCCTTCTCTGTCCCTGCAGCCACAATGCTTTGGAGAGGCAGGAGTGCTACTGCTGCTAAAGGAGACAGGCTTAGTCCAGACCTCAGCATGGCTCCTTTTTTACCTCCTGAGCAACCAGCTGTTCTCCAGCCACTGTGTGGGTTTTATGTTTCTTGCCTATAGTGAAGGACACTTGGCTGTTTGCATTCCTCTTTCAGCCCTGCGACAGGCCTGTGGTTTTCAGTATCCCTCCTCATTTCCCGTCATATTCAATCTTTCTTCCCACGCAACCTGAAGTAAATGTAGTTCAATATTTGGCCCTTCTTCTCAGAAGAGCGGAAGAGAAGGAAGGGTTGAATTGCAGATCCCTGCTTGGCTGCATGCTTGATTGGATGCTAAATCTAGCAATTCAGTGTGGTTTGTTAATCATATGCCAGAGTGGCAAAATATGGCATAATGCATAGAGGGAAGCCGGTTTTGGCCTTATCTTATAGAAATCTGATCTTTTAGCCATTTTGGAGGCTTCTGTGGAAAGGGAGTGCAAGTTTATCTTGGAACTGAAGTATTTATCTCCAGTCCTAAGATGCCTTAAAAGAACACTTGGTTGGCCTATCCCCATAAGGAGACACCCAGGAAATGCTGCTCTTTGTTCTTCTATCTCATGCTTGTATGTTTTCTCCAAAGTATTCTTGATCATTATGACAGTCACAGCAGGACTAATCAAAGTAAAGTGGGGGGGCGGGGAAATCAAAGTTATTACAGCAAAGAAATCCATCATAAAAAGCTTTGGGATGGGGAAGCAGTGCTATAACTTGGCACTTCTTCTGACGATCTGTTGAAGGAAATACCATAATTCGAGTAATCTTAAAAAGAAAAGGTTGTATCCCAGTTGATGCATCTGGTGTGTGCTGTGAACAGCTGACAGGTTCATCATGTAGGACAGGGGATGACAACCTGTCTACCAGTGCACTTTTTTAACTCTCTAAAGGCATAATGTAGATAGAATCAGAGTTGACAAGAGAAAATATTTAAGCCTGTTTTTCAATTGTTTTATGAGTTTGGGGGATTTGTTTTTCCCCTGAATTCTATAAATTGAAGTAGTGGTTTTGTTGCAAATTTTGGTGAGGGTGTCTGGGAGTGCTCTGTTGCTACTTAATATCGGGTTTGAGGAATTGTATATGGCTCAAAGGTTGTTTACCTTGGATTCAGCATAAGACTGAACCTCAGATCCCTGCTCAAAGTAGCTTAGAACGTCTAATGGTCTCTCTTCCTTCTTCGCCCTCTTGTACAGGTTGAAGAACGTTTTTCCCGTGTCCCAGAACCTGTTCAGAAGCGCATAGTGTTCTGGTCCTTCCCACGGAGTGAACGGGAAATATGCATGTACTCTTCCCTTGGCTATCATCCCCCAGAGGGTGAGCGAGACTCTCGTGTACCCTTTAACCGTGGCTTGAATTTGCTACAGTCAGGTGCTGTTGACCGTGTCCTCCAAGTAGGTAAGTAACTTAGTTTTTCAAAAAGAAAATTGTATTTACACGATGGAACGTGGCTGTGCTAATCCGCAATGATTTTTTAAAGGATATCCATGTTTTTATTGATTGTTTTGTAAACCATTAATTATGCATCTGAATTTTTTCTTTGCTATGTAATTGGAATAAAGAAATAAAAATAAATGAAAGGATTTTGTAGTTCCAGCTTACATTCATACCGAAATGAACTTACTTAGATTTTTAATTGCATGTAGTTATGTATAAAATTGTGAGGGTTTTTTTTATAACCCAAGATGGAAGTCCATCATCATAGATGATGTATCCAAAACAACAGGACAGCCAAACACCGTATTTGCTTTTGTGAGATCAGCAGTTTGCTGTATTCCAGTCATACTATGGTTCTTGAAGTATTATATATAGCAATAATGACAAAGGCTATAGAGATTGTAAATTGCAAACCCTTGACTGCAGTGCTGAAAATAATCTTTACTTTATTGACTGTTCTTTTGACTTTTCCTTAATTCACTGAGTGGTCAAAGTGTTTTATAATAAAGCCATGCAATTTTAAAAAATCCTCTACAACTTGTATCTTTCTTGGCAATCAGACAGAAAAGCCTCAATAATAATTTTAAAAAAGCAATCAGAAAACATCACTGAACGTTTAGAAGAACAAACCAACTTTTAAAGGCTGAAAATTGGAAAGTTAATGTTATTTTCCATGGAAGGAATCATTCAGCCTGGCTCCTGCTACATTTCTAGTAACTACAAGATGATGGTTTAGCTTCTGCTTTTTGCACTAGTTGTGCAAGGGCTGCCCCTTGTAATGCATGTGCCTTGGAAGCTATTTATTCCCCTATATCAGAACTCTTTGACCTCAGCTAAAAAAAAAAAAGAATATCCATACATAGGCAGTAGAGCCTATGTAAATGCTGAATTATTATGCATGCTAGGGGTTCTTGACCAATTTTGGTTGACCTTAAAAAAAGCTAAGCAGAGTTGGATGGGAGACCACTAGGAAATCTGATAGCAGTAGGCAATCCTGGGAAGCCACAAAGTATTCTGGAAGAACACAGTGGCAAACCACTTTTCATTCTGTTACCAAATAATCAACCTGGTTGTGTGTGTTAAATTTGAATTTGAGAGACATTAATTAAATTACAAGCAGCCAGTTGTTGCTTATTCAACAAATTCAGATTAAGCAAATCATGGCTTAATGCTATGTGTGAATGTAGTATTTGAGTTTTCAGACATGGAGAGCTGTGTGCAATTTCTCCATATAACCGTGTACAATGAATAATTGTTCTGGAAAATTATGATGAAACACTGAAGAGGTAATAAGTCTCACTTGTGCCCCAGTTAATATGCATAATAGACGGAGCCAATTCTTGCTCCTAAACTTGGAAATCTAAACATGGAAGTTTACCTACCCCCACCTCCACCCCCACCCCATTCTTAGGAACCATTTTAGTTTGTCTTCTTTGAATAAGAACAAAAGTCCTTATATTCCAGATTCCAGATTTTATCCTTGTACAGTTAATATGTATAATTGCTGTTTATTGAACCCATTATGAAAGAGGTTACAGGGCGAATGATTATTTGACTCAGTTAATTGGTCTTCTGCTGAAGGGAGAGTAAGAGATCTCTGTCCATTGTGAAAATGGTTTTCATTTTCTCTCATTTAACAAAGGTTTCTGTTAAGCAATTTCTAGTGTTTTAACTGCAGACGACTATAGCTCCATTGGTATTAACAATAAATAGAGTTTATTGTTAAATAGAGTTTCTGCATCTCAGCTACCCTCCTGTTTATGAACTTCTGTAAGTGAGCTCTGTGGGATGGGCTCCTATAAATGGCCAAAATATCCACCTACACTGTAGAACAAAGAGTCTTTTCTCTCCTCCATAGTTTTCTATATATTAAAGCAAGTTGGAGCACAAATGTTGCTGAGTTTGCCTACTGCCATAATGATGGGAGTTCATTTGGGAATTTCTTACACCTCCCTCAGCTGACCTCTGATTTTGGAATCAAGAATCTAAAGCAGAAATATACAACCTGAGGATGCAGAGCCACATGTCTGCCCTGGAAGCTTTAGGCAAAGCTGCTCAAGGTTCCCTAAAGTAGTTATTAAATTATAATTTGAATGTGAAGGGACATGATGAAATACCGTACTCATTGGAGAGTACTTAAATTAACTACAACTTTAATTACATGTTAATGAAATCAAATCAAATCTAGTGTTTGCTGTGGCCCTTTCCATTACCTTTTAGAGTGCAGGTCCTGCTATGTCACTCAAAAACCAAATGTAGTCTTCATCCAGAAAGTTACACATTTTAGCCCAGAGATGTAATGTCCCTCTCTAAAAAATAGCTCACTGGACATTTATTTGTTGTTTCAAATATCACAGTTGATCTTAAAATGGGTTGTAATTTACTTCTTTGAATGCCTATTCTAAACTCCCACTGAGTTCAAAAGAGTTTGCTCCCAAGAAAACAGATCTAAAAATGCAATCTGATTTTTAAAAGAAATTTCTTTGAGAAGCATATAGTAAGTAAATCAGGCTTGGTGTACTTAATGAGTGTTTTCCTTTTACAGTAAGGTAGTGGTTCTGGTATGTGGTATCTGGTATCCCCTCCAGCCCACATACATTTCTTGAGAACATGTTATTCAGCTGCTTTTCTGTGGCCCATCTAAATGCTGACGGAGGTAGAATCTGTGGGTCATGAGTTGTCTTTCCATTGCGAAGTGCTGCAAAGCAGCTGCTAGTTTTTGTCTGTATGTTCATTGCATGAATATAGGAAGAAATATGGAAGTAGCCCTTCTCAGCTGATTATCACAGGTTGTCTAATAGCTCTAGGCCACACAGAGGTGAAATTAATATAAATATTTACATTGATTTCTGTTCCTCTTGTGTCAGCTTGGACTTTTATTGTCCTATAATTTCTTATCCTCGATTACACGCTTCAACTATTCCCTGGAATTCCCAGATAGTGTATGAACTAGTCTCTGAAATACTTCTTTGGAGATTAGACTTATTCTATATATCTTGCTCCGAGAGTATAAAAGCCTCTGTCTTCTTAAGTACTTACATTTCCAGAAGTGCTTGGAAGTGCCATAAATATTTTACTGAGAGATGCCTTCTATGAAGATGCTTTATATGGTCGGCGAAGTGCTAGCAAATACTTCAAAACTTGCACTCTTTTGTTTATTTCATCGTCATTGTTTTTTGGTACCTTTTGACTCAGATTTTACTCCTGGCCTGGACAAGTCCCTGCAGTTTTCTTGGCAAGATTTCAGAAGTGGTTTGCCCTTGCTTTCTAGGACTAAGAGAAAGTGGCTGGCCCAAGATCAAGCCGTTGGCTTTGTATCTAATTCAGAGTTAGAACTCATGGTCTTCTGGTTTATAGCTAGGTGTCTTAACCACTATACCAAACTGGGTCTCTTTGTTTACATTTAATAACTATTAAAATTTCATGTACTTTTATAGATAAATGTTGTGATACTCTTTAACAAAATGGGCAAGGATAATCCTATAGTTAATATTACATTAGGATTGGCTCAGTTTTTCCCATAAAACATGTTAACAGCAAACATGCTCTCAGTGGATTTTTAGCTTGATTTTTTCTTTTTGCTTCAGTTTGAACTCATTATAGTCTTAATGAGTTCAACGTAAGTGCTGCTTAAGTTACAGCACTTACCTTTACTTCCTACATAAACAGGCAAGCAGATTTTTAAGCATCCTATGGAGAATTAGCGTCCCAAATTCTAGCCATCCACCTATCTATGAGATGCAGAACCAGCTGCAACCAACAATTGCTCTGTGGGGTAAGGGCACAGGTTTCTAGTCCTGGATGACTGGCATACGATTATAGAGCCACATTCCTCTTTCTTTCTTGTCCCCTCCTTACTTTGAAGCTGACACCAAGTCTTTTTCCACTAGTAATAAGAAAGGCCAACACTGTCATCTTCACTGCAACACTCCATAAATTATTCAGAGCTCTGGGAAACTCCTAGGGCCTAACAGATAGCATTGTATCATGAAATCCAAGGTCATATTTTAGTACGGTTATAAATGTTCAAAACTTGTTTAACAAAGAGTATTTTGTGAAAAGCTGATGAAGTGGCTTAGAGTGGGAGCCTTACAGCATAGCAGGAAATCCCCAGTTCCTCTTGCATTGCAGCCATAAACTTGTTTAGTGGCTTTAAGCAATCCATTTTTCTCTTGTACTCACCCACCCTCCTATAACATGAGGCTGCTACTGCCTACTTTAGAGTGACTGTAAGAATTAATGTGTCCAGCATATTGAATACTTGAAATGTGCTTGATAAATAAGATATATTATGTAGAAATTAGCAGGTAGATTGTTTAAAGACTCATCCTATGCCCTGTGATCTTGGTGTTCTTTCTATGGTGCAGTCTGAATGAGTTTACTCAGAAGTTAGCTCCATATGCCTCATGGGAAACTTTGGCGATTTGGTGTTTCGAGATAACTATGTTAGTATTAATTTAGATAGTTCAGCTAGCTAGGAGGTTCACTAGGTAACTATGACTCTGTAAAGGCTAAGGAGTTTTTCCACAGCAGGGCACTTTCCGTTTTCTATACATCATAGTTAATCAGAAGAAAAAGAATAGTGACTTATACAGTCTACCATTTGATTCAAGACTAGTTTCTCTTGATAGCATCTAGCCTCCATCCATTTGTCTAGTTCTATCTTGAGACCATATGACGGCCAACACAATTTAGGAATTATGAGAATGGGAGACTCAACATATTTGAAGTTTACAGGATTATGTAAGACTTGTCTAAAACATATTTGACCTTCTCTCCTACTTAGTGCTGATTATAGCCAGGCCATGAACTGAAGGATTTGGTAAATTAAAATAACTAGTTATGCAAAGAGTTTATCCATTACCACAAGATCCAATTAAAAATAAATTGCTAAATTCTCAAGCTAGATGTAAATATGGAACATTAACAAATATCTACCTTGTCTAAGTAGGGAGGTGGGG